AGCCGCCGCCGGAGGGGGGCGCGGCGCGGGCGGGCGGCCCGGCGCGGCCCGTGAGCCTGCGGGAAGTCGTGCGCTACCTCGGGGGCAGCGGTGGCGCCAGCGGACGCCTCACTCGCGGCCGCGTGCAGGGCTTGCTGGAAGAAGAGGCGGCGCGGGGCCGTCTGGAGCGCACCCGCCTGGGAGCGCTCGCGCTGCCCCGCGGAGACAGGCCGGGACGGGCGCCGCCGGCCGCTAGCGCACGCGCGGCGCGGAGCAAGGTGAGCGCACCGGGCAGGTGCGGGCGAAGTTGGTGGGGACGAGAGTCCCGGGAGGGAGAGGCACGTCAGGTGGCCGGGGTTCGACCAGGGTCCCCGTGGACTACGAAAGCGGCGATCTTGGTCGGTGACCTGATCTTCCGGAGCCTCAGTTTCCTCTGCTGTAAACCCGGATTGCTGACAGTAGCGACCCCTGGGGGTAGTTTAGCGAGTTTAGTAAGACTTGGCTATTGAGGGCTTTATTAACCCAGAACCTGGCACGGAAACGACAGCGTAAAAGTTACTCCGTGTTGTTGTCAAAGGTGGCGTCGGACACTGGATTTCATTTCATCCGGGACTAGAAGCTCTAACTGTGCCTGCTTCTTTCTCTGGCCCCAGAGAGGTGGAGAAGAACGGGTGTTTGAGAAGGAAGAGGAAGATGATGAGGACGAGGACGAGGAGGAGGAGGACAATGTATCAGAGGGCTCAGAAGTGCCTGAGAGTGACCGCCCCGCAGGTGCGCAGCACCAACAGATTAATGGAGAGCGCGGCCCTCAGAGTGCTAAGGAGAGGGTCAAGGAGTGGTCGCCCTGTGGACCCTATCAGGGCCAGGATGAAGGGCGGGGACCAGCACCTGGCAGCTGCACACGCCAAGTGTTCTCGATGGCAGCTGTGAATAAAGAAGGGGGATCAGGTAAGCCCCTCTGGGTGGGCAGTGCGGAGCAGGGCCCTGTGAACTCGCCTGAGACTGCCACCTGCTCTCCCCTTTCCCAGCTTGTGTTGCGGCTGCTCCAGATTCTCCATCTCCTGTGCCTATGCCCCCAGGAAAACCAGCCCTACCTGGGGCTGATGGGACACCTTTCGGCTGCCCGTAAGTTGAAGCGTTGGGGACGTTGGGGTTAAGCACCTGGGTGAGCTGGGCTGTGGTCACTGTTAATCTTCGTTCTGATGCAGTCCTGGGCGCAAAGAGAAGCCAGCTGACCCCGTGGAGTGGACAGTCATGGATGTGGTGGAGTACTTCACTGAGGCGGGCTTCCCAGAGCAGGCCACTGCTTTTCAGGAGCAGGTGAGTCCCCAGGACTGCAGGCGCCCGCACACGCAGGGCCCGCAGGTGTTTGCTGACCCTGCCTTTTCTGTCCTGCCCAGGAAATTGATGGCAAGTCTTTGTTGCTCATGCAACGGACAGATGTGCTCACTGGCCTGTCCATCCGCTTGGGCCCAGCCCTGAAGATCTACGAGCACCACATCAAGGTGCTTCAGCAAGGCCACTTTGAGGATGACGATCCTGATGGCTTTCTAGGCTGAGCACCTAGCCTTGTCCGACCCCATCCAGTTCAGATCCCACCCATGGTGGCCCCGTAGTCCAGGAGCTGGACATGGGGACCCTCTGAAACTTCCCAAGAGACTCCAGTGAGGAGGTGCTCCTCCCTGTTCATTTCCCCCTCTTCTCGCCCCCACCTTAGTTCATCCCCTCTCCACCATAGTGGAATGTGGGGTAGGAGGACTTGGCTCAGTTACCAGGGGCCCCCCTTTTACCCCAAACAAGGACATTTTTGAAAAACAAAAAAAAAACAGGGGAGCATCCTGTGGCCCCAGACCCTCCTCAGTTCAGCCAGATGTATCTTATCTATGTTTTGTTCTGCCTATTTGTCCTGGTGGTGGTCTCTCTTCCCACCGCCTGTGCCCTCCGCCCAGCCTGGCCCCCAGCCTCTGGGGAACAGCTGAGGTAAGGGACCTTGGTCCTCTGGTTCCTTCCCTTTCTGTCTGTCCACTGTTGCTCCACCTGGCTGTATTGCTTTTTAATATTGCACCGAAGGTTTTTTAAATAAAACTTAAAAAAACTTAAAAAAAAAAAAAAAAAGAGTCCATTTTGTGAATGGAGGTAGGAGGCGCCTCAAACCTCTGTGGAGAGTTAACGTTAAGACACTGTTTCGGTGAGGAAGGAATAGTGGCGGCTTTTCTCAGCTCACTAGTAGGCTTGCCAGATATGCAGAACACCTTGGTTCTCACCCCACCACTGCAAAAAATGGTATTTGCAGCTGGGCTGGGTTCGCAGCTGTTGTCAGCACTTCAGAGATGGAAGCAGGATCACGGAGTCAAGGCTAGCCTTAGCTACATAGTCATGTCAAGGCCAATTTATGCTGTTCAGTCCTGTCTAAAACAACAACAAAGTCTAGGACTGGAATATTTTTTCTTCTGTCCGCTCATTCCAGAACTACCTGCTCAAGTGTTTGTTGAGCGACTAACAGTTAACTGTACACTTGAGGAGAGATCTGTTGTCCCCTGTTGTTTCGTGAAGCAGACATCATAAAAAGGCATTTCATAGACAGGGCGATTGGCTTGACAAGTCAGAAAGTTGAGGGTCACACAGGACAATGACACCTGTTGCTGCTGTACTTCCAGCCTTGTAATTAATGCATTTGGCTTCCTACCTGTACTTAAATACCAGTCAGACTTTGCACATAGCAAGGAATCCAATCTACAAGAGTCAGAGATGTGTTCTGGGACGAGGGCGGGCATATTGGAACAAAAGAGATAAGCCAGATCACCTGTCTGAGGAGCTTTATTGTGGAAGTAATCGCTACAACACTAGGCCCAGTAGGTCCACATGCAGATCCCAGGTCCATCGGTCGGAGCTTGGGGCCACCAGGTGGGATGGAGCCTGTGCCTCTCCGTAACTTACTCCCGGATTGCTAACACGTTAGGAACTCCCTCCAGCCTAGAAGAGAAAAAGGTGCCTACCGCTTACTACAAGGCAGGTCTGAGGCTCCGCCCTTCGCAGCGCCCTCTGCTCCGCGCGCCAGCACCTGGCGAGCTCCGTGCGCAGTGCAGGCCCAGGCTGCGCGGCCCTCCGCGTGCCCAAATTCAAAAGAGGCAAAAGCCCCGCGGGGCGGCGCCGGCAGAGACGTCGAGGCCGGGCCTCGTGGGCCGCGGCTGCGATCACTGTCCCGGCCGGCCGGCCCCAGGTGTGCTGCGCTCCCGGAACGCCGCAGGAGGAGTTTGCGGTGGACGCTGATGGCTGCGGAGCCGTGGGTCGCTGGGTCGCTGGCCCTGGGCCCTGGAGAAGCACCGCCTTCAGACGAACTGGGACCCGGGCCGCCGCCCTATGGGGACCCCTCGTGGTCGCCCACAGGGAGACCAGAGGCCTCGGCGGAGCTGGAACCCCAGCGGGCACAGCCCCTGATGGAAGCCCCAGGCTCCGCTTCCTCCCGGGAGCCACTGGCAGCGGAGCTCGGGCCGGCCCCGACTCGATTCCCACTGGACTCCATGTTCAGCCCCATCACTGACCAGCTCCGTTACCTGCTCAGGAAGGCGGATGACTTTCAAAGCTACTTGCTCTACAGGTGACCCTGAACAAGGGCCTTGGACAGAAGGACAAGCTGTGCAGCCCACAGGGGCCAAAAACTGAACTCAGGGCCTGGAGATAGTACACAGGGCTAGCTGATTAGGAATACACTCTCCTAGTGTGCCGTCCGCTGTGGAGAATTGAGAGGCCGAAGAAGGCAGTGTATCAGCCTTATTAGGATACCCAGAATCTTTCTTCCAAAATTTTGTTTTTGGTTGGTTGGTTGATTTGTCCGATTTTTACCCCCTTGAGACACAGTCTCATTATGCTCGAGTTGGCGACCCTTCTGCCTCGGTCTACTGAGTACTGCTTAGTAAATTTGAAATGCTAGCAAAGATGTTTAAAAACTGTGTAAGTGAGCTAAACAAAATCCATCTGCATCAACGCTAGCCAGAGAACTTCCGGTATGAGAGGCTACCCTCCACGCCCAGAGAAAAATGCAATTTCCAGACCAGGGGGAAGGCACTGTGCTGTTTACAGGAGGCTTGCTTAAATCCCAGCTTTCCATGCAGAGCTTGGAAAGAGCTCAGTCGTATATACCCCCAAACACACAGGGGATGGGGCCAGGCCTTGTGCTAAGCAGGCTTTCTGCCACAGAGTTTCGTTCCAGGCCAGGTGCCAGGACTTTAACAAATGTTCCAAATGGCTCTGATGCAGGTGGTTCTGAAAGATGGCGGGAGAAAGACCTGACATGGGGGGGGTGTGTCTTTTCCTTATGCTGAAGCTAAAGCTTTACCCATGCCGAACCTGAATCTCTACCACGAACTTAGCAGCTTCCCAGTCCCTCTTTTTATGTGTAAGTTTGGGTGCTGGAATGGAATCCAGGACTCTGCACAGGCTATGTAAGTGTTCTTACCACTAAGCCACAACACCGAGGGAATTTCGTAATGGGTTCAGCCAGGGATACAGGTGGAGGGTGAGCATGGAGCACCTGGGGATGGAGGGAGAGGGCTACCACATGAAGGCCGCTTCCTCCCTTCAGCAGGGACCGGGTGCAGAAGGAACAGTTGGCGAAGGCCATGCCCACCTTCTTAAAAATGTGTGAGCCTTACTTCCTGTACCTTGAGGCTGCCGCAAGGAGTGTCCCTCCCATCTACGGAGCCCTGCAGGAGCTGGTCCGGAAGGGGGTGCGTACAGTGGCTGTCCTACCAGAGCCTTCCTCGGAGCCACCTAGGCACAGGGGGTTGCTTCTGGCCAACCACCTAAGGTCACGAACTCCCACCTTCTATGCAGTTGTTGGAGGTCTCCCAGCAGCTAACTCTGCGCTTGGAACAGTTAGTCCTCATGTACGCCTCCTTTGGGTTCGTGGACCTGGAAGAAACTAACCCTCTGAGGTAAGGGGTCAGGAAATGAGGCTGTGGGGTGGTAGAGCCCAGAGCCCAGCTCACTGCCCGCTCTCCCGTCGCCTGCTAGCATCTCCTGCTTCTTCTGCGGGAGGTTCTCCATTAGCCCTTCCCACGATGTGTCCATCTTCCGCTACTGCACCCCCGCTGCGTACACTGCCAGCCACTTCCCGAGGTACCTCTATAAGAAGATGCGCTGGAACCTGGAAGCCACCACAGAGGCCAGCAGCCACGGCCCAGACTCCCGTGTGGATTAGTGAGTTCCTCTGTCAAAATCAAAGTCCTCTGCTGAGTGCCACCACCAGAGACTGAAAAGCCAGAGACCAGAACTGTGTATCACTGAGCTACACTTTCAACCTTTAGTTTTCTTAACTCTCCCTCCCCGTTAAAATAGAAGTATTCCTCTTCAGATCAGGCCACTAGGGAGGAAAGTCCTCAGCAGTGGGTCACACTCCTTCCTACCTGAGACCTCAGGCAACCTCTGATGAACTTGAGTCTCACCTCCAAAATTAAAGTTCTCAGCAGAAAAAGCTAAGGCATTGCTTTTTCTTTTGATCTCTCCCTCTCAGCTACTTCTTGTGTTACCGAGATACATGGGAGGATGCAGGCCAGGGACCAGCCAATTCGTGCCCCCAGATCCAGAAACTCTGGTCTATTGGCCGATGGATTCCCCTAGGACCAGCTGAGGATGACCTTGATTCATGGTAGGTTCCCAGTGATGGTGGGTGCGAAGTCTGAGGGAGGGCGGGACAGAACCCCACAAAGACTGAACCTCAGGTTCCATTGGTAGTAGGGATCACATGTTACTGTGCTCTGAACAGTGCTTTACGGAGACTAATCAGCAATCCATAGATACGTGGACCAGTCTATGTTATAAAAAGGAGACATGCTTTCAGAGTGGCTAAGTCATTCTCCCAGGGAGACACAGCTAGCAAAGTGATTAGCAGCAAGTCCAGGAGTTTGTCAACGGAGGAAACACAGTTCCTTACTGTATCCCCTAACCCTAACTGAAACAAAGGCCCTCCTGGCTGAGAAGCAGGGGTGCTCGATCCAGGCTTGTCTCCGGGCCCCCAGGATTTTGTGCCCACAGCCACCCGGGGACTACCAGCAGCTACTAACCATCGGCTTCGAGGAGCCGTCGCACGTGCTGGCCACCGACCTGCTGGTGCAGATCCTCATGGGCCAGGCAGGCCCTGCCCGGCCCCCCAGCGCTGCCGGGCCCGCCGCTTGGTCCGCCCCGGCATCCTGAGCCCCCGGAGAAGCACCGGCGGAAGCCTGACAACACCAAACTCCGGGCAGGAACAGGGCCCGGCCGTGCTGTGTACGCCCCGGCCTGGGCCACCGAACAACAAGTGCGGGCACACTTTTCTGTTAATAAAAGAGCGAGGTCAGAGGTTCTGTGTCTCCGCTGAACACCTTGTCCCTCCCAGGGGGGCGGGTAGGCCCCGCCCACCGCAGGGTCTTCTGGGAAGTGTGGTCTGCAGGCATCGGAGAGCACGCTGCGCATGAGCAGATGCGCACATGAGTCAGTGAGGGAAGTAGCGGCTCCCGTCAGCAACCGGAACCCAGAAAACAAGTTTCTGGTAGCAGGAAAACTGTAGGCCCACTGGAGGAAGACTTAGACTCACACTCGTTTTTTATTTTTTGTTTTGTTTTGTTTTGTTTTAATCAGGAAGTGATTTCTATACAGATTTGTGTGTGTGTGTGTGTGTGTGTGTGTGTGTGTGTGTATGAGAGACAGAGAAAGAGAAAGAGAGAAAAAGAGAGAAATACTACATTTCCCGATGTGCCCTAGGAAACTTCAGCGGATCAGTTTGCAGAGTAGAATCAGACTTTCTCTTCCAGCTTTTGGGGTGTCCGAGCAGAGCCGATGGTTGTCTCTTTTCTCTTGAAGAGTGTGTGGAGAGTCCCTCAGCTTCACATCAGTCTTGGGCTGCCAAGGGGACTCTGGCTGTGAGAAATGAACTCTCCTGCTCTGTGAGAATCCGAACCTGGACTCGAACTTGGGCCTTCCGAGCACAACTGGCCCCTTGGTAGGAATGGGGTCCTTCCTCCTCCCGTGTCACTCCACAATCTCTACACTGAGAGTTCAATATTTGGATCCTGACGTTTTCACATTCATAATTAACATGTGAAGTCCAGAACTATTGAGACCCAGAGCCATGCCTCTCTGTGTCAATACTAATTTTTATTAGCCAGGCATGGTGACACACAACCTTTAGAAATGGCACTCAGGGAAACCAAGGTGGGTGTGCGTGCGCGCTTGCGTTTTTCCCACAGAAGCCAGAAGAGGGCATCAGAGATACGCTGGGTCTGGAATTAGAGCTGTCAGCCTCTGGGGTGCAGGAAACTTAATTAGGGACCTCTCCAAGAGCAGCCTGTGCTCTTATTAGCAGAGTCATCTCTCCAGCACCTTTCTTTTTTCTTCTCCACCCCCCCACTCGCCCCAGATAGGGGTTCTCCGTGTAGCCAGGCTGCCTGACTGTTCTGGAACTCATGCTGTAGACCAGCCTAGTCTTGCACTCAGAGATCCCCCTGCCTCTGCCTCAGTGCTGAGACTAAAGTTGTGCGCCACCGCTCCCGAGCTACTTTTCCTTTTTTCCAGCTGGAGTCTTGGTACATAGCCTAGGCTGGCCTTCTCTTTCAGCCTGGCCTCCAGACTGTGCCGCCGGACCTTACACTTCAGTACTTCAACTGACCACACCTATTATAAGTCCGTCTCATCCTGTCCCATCCCATCCGTTTATGGGGTCATCCTCCCAATCCTCTCCCTTCTCCCCACTCCCACACCCTTATAACAGAGCCGGCCTGGCTGTGCTGAACTAACTGTGTAGACCAGGCTGGCCTCAAATTCACAGAGATCTGCCTGCCTCTGCCTTCTGAACGCTGGGATTAAAGGCCTGTGCCACCGAACCCGGCCTATAAGCCCTTTCCAAACATGTGAAATCTCGAGCTGACTTGAGGTTACAAACCAAACTCATGCTCTTCCAGAAAGGTCCCTGTTAACCATTGTCAAATACATAAGGTTTTCCTCCACAGCTCGGATCAGATTAACTCTAAGATAATTCTGATTCCTCCTATATTGATTTGAGAAGTTCCTGTGCCTTTTCTCATCATCCTGGCCTCCCAGCACACACTTGGGGGCTCACAACATTTCTTAACTCCAGTTCCTGGGGTCCAAGGCCCTTTCCAGCTTCTGCACACACCAGGCTCAAGTGTGGTACACAGACATACCCATCATATAAAAACTATAAATATTGATGTCAGAGTTTGGGGGTTTGGTTGAGTTTAGCATGCACAAGACACCAGGTTTGATCCCCAGCACCACAAAAATAAGAGACTTGGCTCGGCATGGTGGCACACACCTGCAATCCCAGCACTCAGGAGCTGGAGCTGGAGGCTGACATAGTGAGATCTTGCTTAAGAAAAAGCAGGGGAGCGATGACGACATACCTGTTCGAAGCCTGGAACCTACATAAAAGTGGACAGAGAGGACTGACCCCAAAAAGTCCTCTGACAGCCACACACATGCAGTAGCATGCCCCCTCCCCATCATACATATATGCAGTAATCAACTTGCTGGGCATGATGGCACACACATTTCATTTCCGTGCTTGGGAGGCAGATGCAGGAAGATCTTGGTGAGTTCTAAGCCAGCCAGGGCTACATGTCAAGTTCAAGTTCAGCCAGGGATATATAGTGAGACCTCATCTGAGAGAAGGCACACTGGAGAGAGGGCTTGGCAGTTAAAAACAACATTGCTCTTCCACAAGTCCAGAGTTTGGTTCCCAGCACCCACATTGTGGTTGACAACTGTCTGTAACCCCAGTTCTATAGCCTCTGACACCCTCCCCCGGGCACCAAAGATGCACATGGGACACAGACAGACACGCAGGCAGAACACTCATATATTTTTAACTTAAAGAATAAAATAAGGTGGACAGCTCCTTCGGGAACACCCAAGATTGACCTCTGGCCCTCCACACACAGACCTGTACTCACATGAGGTGTCACGCAGACAGCCCCACCCCCACCAAAGAACAGCTTGTGATTCCGTTTGCCAGGCTCTCCACTGCCCTTCCCTCAGACCCAAAGCCGTAGTCACGCGTGTGGTAACAGGCTCTGGAGGAGGGTCCTTACTAGACTGACTAGCCTCTGGGTAAAAAAGCATATGGACCTTCCCCCATCTTATTTGTTGGTATATCATTGGACACTTGCTGCAGGATGGAGGCCAGCTTGGTTAGCATACTGAGTTGGGACAAATTTCTGGATAAATCAGAAATTTAAACTGCGTTGTTTGTGGGGATCAGGAACCCAGGGGGAAGGAGGTGAGTGTTGACGAAGCCCACACAGAATCCCAGGAATCAGACTCCCGAGACCAGACTCAAAGGTGCAGATCTAACTTTATTGTCCAGTGTAACAGCCTTTAAATGATTGAGAGGCCGATCAGACCATCCCATGCTAGCCTCAAGCACCAGTAACAATCAGTCAGGTTGGTGCAGCTATAAGGAAATGTGAGAAATGGGGGTCGCCTTAGGAGACTTCCTCATAAGAGCCTGCAGGGATGTGCAGCTTTTTGCTTCATTTCTGGGGACCTGAATTCTGATCAAGATCATCACTGGCATGACAACACTTCACCCACTGAGACATGGCCTCAGCCCCTCGCTTATTATTTATATATTTTTAAGATGGGGTGTCCTGGGCTGGCCTCAAGCTCTCTATGTAGCTGAGGTGACCTTGAACTTCTGATCCTCCTGCTCTTCAATTACAGGGATGCACCACTGTTAAACCCTGGCCTGGGTTTCCTGTTTGCCAGGCAAGCATTTTACCATTGAGCTGTATACCCAGCTCTATACAACAGTTCTAAGATTCTGTGGGAGTCCCATTTTGTCATCTCAGTCACTTCTAAAAAGCTGTAGAACTACCTTGGCATTATGTGAATGACCACAGATAGAGTTTTCTGCACAATTTAGAGTATTTACCATAAGTTAAGCAGGGTCTGCCACAAACCAGCCACTGGCCTCTAAAACTTGCTTCTTTTTTTTTTTTCCTTGCAACAGGGTCTCGATGTGTAGACCAGGCTGGCCTTGAACTCACAGAAATCTGTCTGTCTCCACCCTCTAAGTTCTGAGTTTAAAGGCAAAGGTGCTGCTTATATCCAGTCCACTTGAATAATTTTAAAAGTTTTTTTTTCTAAACCTGGTATGATGACATAGGCCTACAATTCCAACATAAAAGAGGCAGAAGCAGGAAGATCACAGATTCAAAGCCATCCTGATCCACCTAGCTAGCCAGAGCAACACAGTGAATCTCTGTCACAAAATATCTTAAAGGAGGAAAAAGTTTCCTAAATAGTAAAAAATTGGTAGGCTTTAGTTTAGTTTAGTTTCTGTTGTTGTTTGTTTTTTTGTTTGCTTGGTTGATTTTCTTTGGTAGGGGGGCTAAACCCAGAGCTTGCACTTGCAGGCAAATGCTCAATTTTTTTTTTTTTTTTGTTGTTAAAGAATTTTTATTTTTTAAAATTATGTCTGTAGCTAAGTGGTGGTAAAACATGCCTTTAATCCAGCACTCAGAAGGCAGAGGCAGGAGGATCTCTGTGAGTTCCAGGCCAGCCTGGTCTACAGAGCACGTTCCAGGGCAGCCAGGGCTACACAGAGAAAACCTGTCTCAAAAAAAAAAAAGTGTGTGTGTGTGTGTGTGTGTGTGTGTGTGTGTGTGTGTGTGTAAGAGCCTTCAGGGATGTGCACTAACCAGCTTTTCACTTGGTTTCTGGAGATCTGAATCACACACACACACACAGGCACACATGCACAGCCAGGAATGGTGCCTTTAATTCCAGCACTCAGGAGGCAGAGGCAGGAGGATCTATGTGAGTTCAAGACCAGCCTAATAGACCTAATTCTAAGACAGCCAGGAGTACATAAAAAGAGTCTTCTTTAAAAAAAAAAAAAAGTGTATTAATGGGTACTCACCCACAGATTCCAGGATGCCAGAGAAGTCTGGAATGTGTCTGACCCAGAGCTGAAGGTACAGGGACTCTGAGCTGCACAAAGCTGTGTGCCGGGAACTAAACCTTCTCCATGGACAGCAAACACTCTGTTTTTGTTTTTGTTTTGTTTTAACTTGTGATTTTTTGAGACAGGGTTTCTCTGTGCAGCCCTGGCTGTCCTGGACTCTTCGTAGCCCAGTTTGGCCTGGAAACTCACCACAATCCACCTGCCTCTGCCTCCTGAGTGCTGGGATTGTAGGAGTGC